TCACAATTTTACAACATGTATTTCTGAATTTGTGAATAAACGTTAAGATTTAGTGCCAAAAAACTGCTTAAAAAACTTAGTATATTAACACACATATAGTATCGCAAGTTACTTACAGTGTTGGTTTTCAGCTGACAAAAAAAATTCGAATTAAGATGTGTCTGAACGGTGGTCAAAACAAGTGACTTTTATTGTGAAGGGAATGCCAGGATGTTATAATATGAATCAATAACTTTAAACTGACATCTCACAAAAGAATCTGTTTTTGTTCACAGGTCCAAACGATCCTTGAAGAACACACCAGTCAGGGAGAAGTCATCCTGCTGGTTTACAGAGGAGGTAAATACTTCTTCTCGTGTATTTTAAACAAATATATGTGTAAATATATATATTAACCATATACATTAACAGAAGTTGACTCGACTCGACTCTCGTTTCCTTCGTCATGGTCAGGTATTTATCCCTCAGCTACCTCCCCTGCTGCTCTTCGGAGACTCCCTTCTCCTCACCTGCGTCCTCCTCCTCCACCTGTTGCCTCCGACGTCTCCTCCTTGCTCCCTGATACGCTGCCCGTGCCCCGCACCTCCCTGAGCACTCCTCCCTCTCCGGTGCCGAAACACTCCTCGCTCATCCAGAGCACCAGTTTCCTAGAGTCCATCCCGGTGACGCTGACGATGGAGCCCAAAGACTGGATCAACACAGGCCTGGAGGACGACACCGGCGGCGTGGAGATGGGGAGGCAGGGCGGAGAACAGACTCGAACCCCCCCGCGGGGGGGGGGGGGGGGGGGGGGGGGGGGGGGGGGGGGGGGGGGGGGTCGCGGGGGAAGGGGGAGGGGGGGGGTGTCAGCTGAGAGCAGCAGCAGCAGCAGCAGCTCTGCGTTAGTTAAATGTTAATGTGTTTTTATTTGACAAATTCAGCTTCGGGGCATGGAGCAGTCAGAGGTCAGAGGTTAGAAGGTTCACTTTCTCAAACAGTGGCTTTTAAGAACCTATCCAGGGTTGTTTACATAGTATGAAATACTGACCGTTGTCTACTTTATAGTATTTTGTGTATTTGTATCTTTGAATTTGAATGTGTTTTCTTTTTATCTAACTTATTGCTATTCCAGCCTTTGGCCAATTCTTGCTGTTTTTCGTGTTTTACAAATCCTGGGCCAACGTTAGCGGTGCTTTCAATGCGTCGCTCTTTCTGCTGCTGCTGCCACTGCTGAGTGGTGGATTTACTGTAAAGCCTGTATGACAGGTAATGAGCAGATTGTGTGCTTAGTGTGTCCTTACCTCTCTCCCTGCTTCCCTCCACTCTTGGGATTGACAAAGACAAGCAGAGGATGAGTGCCCTCTATTGTCGTGATCTGAATGAGGAGAAGTCAGAAGAAAACCATCAGCGCCGGGTGAAGAGAGGCGACAGCAGGCGTCGTCGCAGGTACATCGCACTTTTCAAGCCTCATCTCGACAGCGTACGGGGCACTTAAAAGAAAATACCTGTCGCCTCGTACACCTAAAGACACTGGCAGTTTAACAGTTTGACTCACTGCTCGCAGTAGCACCAACAAACAGCTTAGCTTTGGGTCGGGAAACCTCATTGGATGGTTGACATATGAGCCTTTTTTTTTTTCAATTTCAAATGTTATCCCCGAAATTATTTATTTGTGTTGTTGAGACTCTTGACATTCTAAATATATATGCCATATACATGTCTATTTTAGTATCATCAATTTGTTGTATTTTATATCAAATAAAAAGGAGGTACATTTTAAACATCTCTGCTTTTATATTTAACATCATTATTTGAATTGAAATTGAATTGAAAAACCAAGTAACATTCATAAATATTTTTGACAGACAGTCACACTATAGGACATATTTTATGTTTAAAAATGTATTTTTGTGTCGACCACTCATGTTCAAGGACCTAACAGTACAGCCTAAAGCAGGCGTGGGCGAACTTTTTGACTCGCGGGCCACAATTGTACGTAAAAGTCATGCATAAAGGATAAAATTCTTTTATCATTTTCTACCCCATCTATTGGGAAAACGTGGGTATTGCAGGGAAAATGTAGTAGTATAATGATAATGTAAATAAATTATATTATTTGAAAGAATTTAGCGGGCCGGATACAAAAGCTGAACAGGCCGCATCCGGCCCCCGGGCCTTAGTTTGCCCATGCCTGGTCTACAGCCATCCAGCCATGAATCAATTAATATCCTCTGCAGAACAACGTCACGATTTGGTCTTTGATTTTTGTCCCGCTGCTTTCTAATTGTCAGAGCAGCATCTGCACAGAAAGAAATAAAACACGCTCCGTCCTCGACTCCAAACTCATTCAAGCACTAAATAAACAACCCTTAATCCAGGCCCGCCTAATCCGACCGAGGCCCCGTTTGAATCCCGCTTGAAAGCTCACTTCCTGCGGCTCGTCCGCAGCAACCCTCGCCCCGTGACACAGATGAAGCGTTTAACTCCCCCGTCTACTGTCCCAGCAGGGACAGGCCCGGATTAATGAGCTCCCTGTCCACTCTGGAGTGATCCATTACTTCCTGTAATTATAAATAATAATCTTGATTATTACGCTGGTTAGTCAGAGAGCGGCAGAGACGGATGTGGCAGAGATTGGACTCATCATTTTTCCTTCTTCACTCTCCTCCTGCCCTGGCATTAGACTAGCTGTCGACTCAAATGATGGCAGGTCTCAAATCTTCCTGGACTCTGTGTTTGATGTTAGATAGAGGTTCAGGAGAGGGCTGGTGTTTTTGTTTTTGTTTTGTTTTTTATACTGTGTGATGGTTATAACCAGCAATGGGAAGGGGGGGAAAACTGATCCAGACACTTAACCAAACATCATATTTACTGTATGTTCACTAAACTGATCAATTACTAGTTTTGCTTTATGTTCCTTACCAACGACCAAAGAGAAACTAATTTTATAATTTTTTTAAAATATTTTAATAATTGGAATTAAAAGATATTTTAGATATATGTAACTCACATAAGTGTAAAAAAAAA